TCACTCGTGTGCGCTGTCGGATCAGGGTTGAACACGTGGTGCGGTCGCCATGGTGCGGCACGACGGGTTGGGAAAAGGCAAATATGATTATATTGTCCACGAAGACCGCTACGCTCTTACTCTCGCTCTCGTTCCGTTTCTTCGTCTCTCTCTCTCTCTCTCTCTCTCTCTCTCTCTCTCTCTCTCTCATTGTCGGTACCGGTATAATAATAATATCCCAGGGTACCTCCATCACCCATTTTCTCCAGCCGCTTCAGCCGAAATCACATCAGTCCCTGTCATATCAGTCAAATGATAATACCCTCCCAGCAACATCTTTATGCGGTACTCGGCAGATTGCGCGCATCGATCCGTGCGACGATCGAACGCGCTCTTCTCCCGCGGCCGTCGCGACGGCGAATTTCATCGCGGTCGAAACGAAACACCCGATGTGAATGAAAGTTCTCTGTTCTCTCGGATCGCGAAAGAGGATATCGCGGCAAAGCTGCATATTTTTTTTTTCTACATAGTCGCACGAGCGCACGGTCCATCCGACCGCGGAAATCTAAAAACGTTGACAAAAAGTAGTGGCTTGGAACGCAAAACAACGCGACGCGACGCGACGCGCGGAGTCATGAAACACGTGCGTCATAAAAGGTGAGACGGGGAATGCATGCGGTATGCAATTTCGGTAGACGCAGTCGCTGCGGGTCAATCACCGAACCGCGATATTGCTTATCGATTCTCTTCGCTTGATTGACGTGCCTAGGAGGTTGCAGTAGACGGGCGCCCGCGGCATTATTTTCCGAAAATCCGCGCCGCATTTGTTTTCCTTCTCCTCCACCACTTTCCTCGATTTTTTTCCTCGACCGTGTGTAAATATTTTATCAAACATTGTCTCGTCTCCGCACTTTTCTGCATTTTTTCGCTGTTTACAAATCGCCGCCTGGCGATTGCCAGAGAGATTAGTTTTCTCCGAGTGAAAAAAGAATACCTTGAAAGCGCGTGTTCGAGGTCGCAGCTAATTGACGCGACACAATGCAATTACGAGATATGAGGTTCGGGTAAGATGATACGCTCATCAGAGTTCAACTAATGCGCCCGTCGGCGTCAATATTTCGCTCTTATGTACAACGAGAGGAACAAACTATTATTAAGCGCAACGTGACGCTCGCGCAGGCAGACTCGCAAGAAAATAGTGGCGCGAGAAAGAAACGCTGTTTTTTTACAGCGTAGAGCTTACGTTGTCGAGCTTCCGAGATTCCGGCGGTGTATAACCATCGTCCAATAAGGACGCCTTTAACATTTCAAGAGATCTTCATAGTGGCATTTTTCCTTGCTCCGGTACATCGCGTACACCGCGGCGCAAGACATCAAAGATGGCATTTTTCTACGGAATTATAGCGTGGCTTTAGCGTAGTGGCTAGAATCGATCGCGTTTTTCCACAATGCGATTAATGAGTCGTGCGACAGATTATCGCTCGCAATAATTCCCTGTGGACTTTTGTATATTTTTTTTATTCGATATCCGAATACGGTTAATCTCCGATAAAGCACGTTGAAGTTAGTATCTCTTTTCCAAAATCGACATTGACATTGTTATCGAATAGAAAAAGGACAATATCATGAAGCATAAAAAACTATTTACACGCTTGAACTAGTCACCGCCGACGAGATCGCCTTCAATTTCCGAGAGTCATCGAGAGTTATATCGAGTGTCTCTTGATAACTAGCGCAATTTAGTCTGACATCTTATAATATATTATTCTCAGAGCCATTCGAGGACGCGCGTGGCTCTTGACACGTCTTGCATAAAACTTTCTTGCATTTCTGCGACACGTACCATGACGGAAGAGCCGTATTCCGGAAAGCGGAATAGTGATAGCAGCTCTCGACTCGACAGCCATCCAAACGAGAGATGCTCCCGCGAAAAGTCGTTCGCAAATTCTTCGCGCCACTTTCCCGTCGGACGTTCGCATCCAACGTAGCGTGCCGTCTCGCGTAGTGCATCCCGCAAAAATATCACGCAAAAAATTGCACGCTCCTTCGACAATTTCGAAACACGCACGGTCACCAAACAGTGAGAGTCTCGCGCGAGCCTCTCACTGTGAAATGGCGAATGAACGAAATCCGCACGTAATCTCACGCTCGAGAAAATTCTGCCGGCGTGATGAAGAATCGCCGCTGCCTCTTTCGTTCTCTTTTATTAATGTTACACGTTAATCGATCGTAATTCCTCGCATTGAACTTTCATCGTAATTTTCTAGCTGAACGTCAGCTACAGCGGAATCGCGAGCAAATACGAGCTACAAAGTGGCTCGAGGGATATAAATACTATAGTATATAGCGCGATATTTCATACGTTTTATTATAGAGGTATCCTTTGTAAAAGAACAAACACAGAATGGGAGAAAGAGAGAGAGAGAGAGAGAGAGAGAGAGAGAGAGAGAGAGAGAGAGAGAGAATCTCGCGTTCGTATTTTTGCTTGAAAATAGCGGATGCAGATGCATAATGGATTGGCGTTTCCTTCTCGCACTGGCCGCCTCTCGGAAGCAAAATCAATAAACGGTTAAAGATAGCATGAATGATTGACTTCGCGCTTCTCTCTCTCTCTCTCTCTCTCTCTCTCTCTCTCTCTCTCTCTCTCTCTCTCTCTCTCTCTCTCTCTCTCTACGTTCGTGGAATTACACCCGCGGCGTTTGACGGAAACGCCAAATAGCGCGAATATGTGTGTGGAATATGTGCGCGCGCACGCGCGCTTGTTCCTCCCTTTTCCCAGCGGAACAGCCGTGTATCACCACAGCGAACATCTCAATCAAATGTGCCCTATGCAAATATAATCTCTGTACGATTAGAGTCGGGAAATGATAGATATTTGATAGGTAAACGGCAAAGATAATTAAAACAAGTCTGTGTAATCGGAGGTACGAGAGGTAACGTGTAATCGTGAAAATTATTCTATTCCAATTACATTCCGCCGTACTCCGACTGCTCGTGTTTGTGGAAATTCGTCCGAATATTGCTGAGAAGCATCTACAAACAAACGGGCACGCCGTTGTGTAAAAACCGATCGCGACAGATTCGCATTTCTTCATCGACAAGCTCCGGACGCGTCGGAAAGATTAACGACAGGAGCGCGAGAAAAAGGCGCAGTGTGTTTCGCAAACATTCGTATCACGCTTTTCCGCGATACTTTAGAAACGTAATCGATCTCGCCGCTCGGCTTTTCTTCCTCATAATGACGAATGCTAATTGCGAGCGAGCGCGCGCGCGGTCGATAGTTCTTCAAGCACGCGCGAGCACGACTAATAGCCGTGCTCGTTCAACGAGAGGGAGAGAACGAGGGAAGAGAGGAGAAACGAGAGGAGTGCTTGAGTGCGAACTCGCGTAGTCGGCCCGTCGGGAGAAACAAAGAAGCCGGCTGGAGATGGGGAAGAAAAAATATTTTACAATGCCAGTTCAGCGTAACGAGTAACCTTTGTGGCAAGTCGCGCGGCGTGCCCGGGACGTTAACGTTAACGGAAGCAAAAAAGAGACAAAGACAGACGAGAGAGAGAGAGAGAGAGAGAGAGTCTGTGCGCGGGCAGGGATCGTATACGCGGACCGCTTTTATAATTTCGCGCGAAGAAGGGCGCTCTTTGGGAAAAACGTCATTGGTGAGAGAGCGAAAGATAGGAGGGGAGAGAAAGACAGCGTTGTTTTCGTGGGATAAAGTTCTCGTCGAAACCTATGTCATACGTTGTCCGTAGAGAAAATTGGATGGGATCGCGTGTAAAAAATATGATAATAAATATGATAAATGTTAAAGACGTCTGAGAGATAAGATCGGAGAGATGTACGAAATCCGCAGAGTTACCGCAGAGGTTGATATTTAAAAAAATTAGTAGAGTGTCCAAAAAAAGTCAAATTGCACATTTTATTTTTGGGCAAAGAATTATTGTGACGATCGCTCCGTCTTATGTCTGTGTGCTTGAAAATATTTGTAAAGTTCGGAAAATATTAATTTTCTCTTCTCCTGAGCCCTTTCGTCACACACATGTGTGATATATTTTTTTCCTACGAGAGTACTGCAAATCTGTCTGTAAATTGATTCGTGTCAAACAAACTGCCATCGATGGACCGACGATCGCCAATCGCTAGAGCTAGAGATACTCTAGAGCGCGGCATCCAATGATATATCCGAGTGATTACTCGACGAATATTTAGCAATGTCCAAGAGATATTCAACGCCGCGGCTATTCGTGACATCCGTCTCCCTGGTGGCGCCGCGTGTTACACATTGACAGCGCGGGAAAAGATCCCTTCCTCGGAAGAGCGAGGAGAGCAGGCGCGGAACGGAGAGGTCGAGGGTGGGAAGCGACGGCAAGGGTGGAAATGAAAAATTGCCGGCGCCGTCGAGCCAGAGCAAAAGTAACCACCCTACTACTAGCTCTCTTGCCTACAGATAAGAGAAAATAACGAGGTCGACAGACACGCGGAAGAGAACTAATTCGCCGCATATTTCACGCATGTCCGCCCCTCCCGCGGTCGCTCCCGAGAATAAAGGGATTAATCGTGGCGTTCTCCGAAGTGTATTTATCTCTGCGCGTTATGTCTATTTCCAGAAACATCGGCGCGGAAGACGTGGCCCGGTTTTACGCCAAAATGTCTTACGTAACACGAAAGTTTGCAAAATTTTTACGGGCGCCGCTCTCGACGACGGCCCGGGGAGTTTCCGCGCATTTGGAATTCGATTGAGAGACGCGCAGGAGGGGTGGTAGGGAACGGAGAATGAAAAGTTTTCGCTGTGTTATATTTCTCGTATATTAAAATTCTCGATATGCGGGCGGAGGGAGAGATCACGAAAATAAATAAAACATAGTCAAATCGCATGTTCCGCACGCAACCGCACGCGTGAAAGAAAAGTAAGAGTCTGATAGGAACTCACGATAAATTCAATATTAACTCATAAAAGTGCGAGGCTTGAACGCAAACATTTGCCGATTTGCGGAGGAATACATGTATATAGTACGCGCGCTTACCTTTTCGCCGCTGTCGCTGGGCAGGTAAAACGTGAGAACCGTGAGAAACGAAATCCCCATGCAGGGGATGATGATGTTCACCGTGTAGAAGAGGGTCTTCCTTCTCATCGTAATGTTGAACGTGATGTCTAAATAGGGCTCGTCACAGCAGGTGTAAAACTTCTCGTTTCTGTGAAAAGAAGCGACGCAGCGTGGAGGATATCGTTGGTCGGTCAATCGATCGGATCGAACGGCTACAATTAACAAACGATGAAGCAAAGAAAGAGAGGAAGGCGCGTAAAAATCCGGCTTCCTCTTTTTCTTTTATTCTCCTCTCTCTCCCGTATCCGACAATAAATACGTTTTAAGTAAGTAGGGCCGGCTGCGCAAGCGAGAGTTATGAGGAAAGTTAGTCGCGGAGTCCCATATAATTCCCACCGAATATCCCTCCAAGTCGGTAACTCGGGTCGGCCCTTCCTTACTTGTCGCACTGGCGACGAACTGCCTCAGGCCTGGGACCGCCGCAGGCGTGTCGTTTCTTGCATGAATAAATTGGGATTGCTTTCTTTAATTCCCGAAAGTTTCATTTTCGAAGAGAGATTAAAGAAAGGATGCTCTAATGCGTAAAGAAAGAAAGAAAGAAAGAAAGAAAGAAAGAAAGAAAGAAAGAAAGAAAGGAAAGGAATTCTCGCGCGGGGTAGCGCGACTCTCCGAAAGTTGACCTGATTTTCTTCCACTCTCTTGGCTCTCTTCTTCTTCGACGCTTCGAGACGTGTCGTCGCGCGCGAAAGCGACGAGATGAAATTTCCGTGCTGCCGATCGATCGGTATTCCTCGCGAAAATGCCGCCTCCTCTCGGCGAGGCGATCAGTGAGCGAGACGATTCGAAATCGAATGAGACACCGATATCAGTATCGGTGCTCACCCAATATATCGGAGCTGCGGTATCGATGCGGTAATGCACAAAAGTGTTCCGTAATTTCGAGGCACGATGTCTCGACGAATCTTTAAAAAGTACCATTCGTATCGACGAGAATTCGACGTTCATTTCGGTGTCGCGGCAGACCGGCTTTCGGAAGCTCCCACTCCCGTTTGCATCTCGCTACGCTGTCGAGATATATCCGTCGAGATCGAACTATGCTCGGAAGCAGCCGCTGCTCGCGTATGCCAGGCAGGCATATATTGAATACGACGAGGAATTTCATAAGAAAAGAGGGAGGGAGGGAGGGAGGGAGGGAGGGAGGGAGGGAGGGAGGGAGGGAGGGAGGGAGAGAGGAGAGGAGCCTCTCCTCTATGCGCTTTGAAGTTCCCGATGCCTACGCTATTACTTGAGGATCTCGCAGATTAGATCGAGATTTCATCCGGACGGAATGGATTAACTGCACGTCGCGAGCTTCATACTGACATTATATACATTCTTCCACGTAGTTTACAAGCCACAAGTTTAATGCATGTTTACGCGCGTTTACGGCTCGTGTTTTTAATTCGCATTCGCTTGAATTTTAATGAAACGGAGAGTCGCGCGAGGGTGGAAATAAACAAAATATCTTATTGGATCGCTCGATCTCGAGTGATATTATTCCCCACCGTAGCTTTGGTTTGACTTGACCGACTTGGGGCTTACCCATTACCCCGGGATATTCAGCATGGGAAGCATGGGAAGGTGCAAATTTCCGCGGAAGAAAAAGGACGGATGAATAAAGGATGAATAAAGGTGAATCGCAAGGTCCAGACGACGGTTTTAACGATTTTACCATATCTGTCGTTCGGGTTTCTATGAAACGCGCGAGATGAAGCGCAATATGAGAACCTTACCGAACTGCAGGCACTTCTAGAATATCCCATTCTACGGACATGTAGAACTCGGACAGATCGACTCCCACGTCCACAACGTTGCTCCCGGCTTTCTCGTCCATGTGTCTCAGGTCGACCTACGTGAGACAGAAAAAGCGGCCGGCATTAAGTTCGCGTGCATGCAGAGCGTGTTCGTTGAAACGTTCGAACGCCATGCCCAAGTAATTCATCTCTGACGTGCGAGTGTGCAGTCGGTGATGCAGCTTAAAGCGCGCGCAAGTCTCGCGACGAGTCTCGCAGGTGAGGAAGGACTTGTCAGGCAAAAAGGCCGCATTACCAGACTAAAGAAAAGGAAGATTTACAGAATGAATATATAAGACGACACACCTAGTGGCAGTATCGTGGCAGCGTCGCAACATTCGCTCGTATCGCTCTTTGGTTCGCATCCAACTGCACACTTGCAATCAACTGCTCAATAATCACGAACAATAATAATAATAATAATAATAATAATAATAATAATAATAATAATTCTGAAATGAACTTTCAGTGCATGTCTTGAGATGCACTTGGTGTTCGCAGAAGCGCACAGGGAGCAAGAAGATAATCTAACTGTTGAAGGAATGAAAAAACGGAGCGTCGAGAGACTGGTGGTGGTCCGCAACAATAGGACAACACTATGACAGCAACTAGATAGAGCGGACGTATCGCCTTTAACGTAATCGGCATCTATGTGCGCCGTGTTGCAGAGTAAAACGAAGGAGACCAGACTAGCGCGCTCGATTCGGGTTTACTCGTGAATAATACTCGGAGCTAACAGCAGAGAGAGCTAGATGCGCCTAACCACTAACGGTGGGGTGTTTTTTATTCGCGTATCGTGATATAGTGGTATTTTTCGAAAACGTCAGAGCGACTTTCAATCTCCTAGGCTGCCTGAATGCGAAAGACAGCTGGCTCAGAAGATGACAGTCCTGCGTTCTATCGTATATTTCTATTTCTTCTTTCATGATATAATTTTATACTTCGTAGCGGCGAATCTGATTGTCGAGATCTCGCTGCGACAATCTGCATCGAAATGATAAGGAACAATTTGCCTTCTCGAAAGGCAATCTCGCGGCGCGGCGTATGCTGTTTCCCTATTCCCTGTTTTATCCTCTGAACCTACAGAATTGGACTCGACGAGCGCGATGCGCTCGGTATGATTGAAGCCGGCTTTAACGTAACGTGAGTACTGTCTAACCATTGGCTTCTTGGCTGATCGTCCAGCGCGCAACGGTATTACCGTGAAACACGGTACGGACGGAGACGCATCTCTCTGGTAACGATCCGACCGATGGATGCGTTCGCGAACAATACTTTGTCACTACCGCGGCGCGGCGCGGTACATTAAATCCGGCAAGCGATTTTAACGAGAACAGTGCAGCGCCGCCTCGCCGCGCATATGACGAACCGTTTAACTGATCGCGACGATGAATGTGTCTGTATCTTAGAGTGTCGCGTCGTGTGATAAATCAGACATACACGCGATCTTTTCGCGGGGAATATAAATCGCTCCTTTGAGAATTATGAGCTAAGTATCATCCGTTCGATCTTCACGAGCGAGAGTTTTTACAGTGAAATCGCTCGTGCAAAGTGTAATGGAAACTAACAGCGGACCCATATTTTTCTCTTCTCGTCCACCTTTATCGATTTATAAAATTGTACGGTTACAAAAGCTCTCTCTCTCTCTCTCTCTCTCTCTCTCTCTCTCTCTTTCTCTCTCTCTCTCTCGGCTATAACGTAATTTAGCGCGACCCACTTTTCCGACTTGAATCTAATAATCGTCCCTGCCCGAGAAGAAGTTCGAATCCCGAGATTAAATTCAATCGCCGTGCGGAATTAGTAAGAACAAAATATCGCGGGCGTCCCCGTTATCACAAAGTTTCGTTAATTCGCGCGATCCTCCACTCGACAGAGATAACTGGCGGCGACGTGTGTAAAAAGGAAGAGGAGGGAAGGGGGGAACAATTTCAACAGGCTTGATGCGCGGTTACGTAGAGATTTACCGCTCGAAATTCCTTAAGCGCAAATTACTGTAATCGGGCGAGCGTGTACTTCGCACCTGCTTTGGAATAACGTTTCAATTAGGTTCACGCGAAATCGAGGCGCTGCAGATGGAATTAATTAAAGGCTGGTCGGGTACGAGCTGCCGTGCCATCTGATCTTGGCAAACTTTGCTAAAGATCCTTTGAGGCGTAGACAGGCCGCCACACATATACACATGCGCACGCACAAACGTACATCATACGTACACAAACACACACACACACACACACACACACACACACACACACACGCGCGCGCGCGCGCGCGCGCATTAATCTCGCGGGAAAGCAGACGGAAACGGAATTTAAAGAACGTGCGTTGCCAGTCGAGGCACGTCGTCTGTGCGATCTTTTCGTTTTCCTTGTTTTTCCTTCCTCTGAAAATTGCGTTACCTTGTACGTCTCGTAATCGTTACGTGTGATTCGCCCGTTTCGCGTTTATTTTACCAATTTACTCTCGCGCGCTCCACGAGGAAAATTAATAGCGTCCGCTCGTACGTGTACGTGTGCGTGTACGTGTGCGTGTGCGTGCGTGCGTGCGTACGTGCGTGTAATATCGCTTCATTACAATTACTACTCATTTACCGTTAGATCCTCTCAGTGTCCACCATATTTTCCCGTTTTCTCCCCTTTTAAAATCTCTGCCGCTCTTTCTTTTTTCTTTTGTTTCCTTTTAGTATCTCTTTAGTGGTACATACGTGGTGGATACGTGTAAACGGGTCAATTTGAGGAATCGATTACATTTTCGCGAGAGGTATAAAGTGATTAGCGAGATCATGAACGAACTGGAGCATTTAAAAAATTTTAAAAAGAGGGTACATTCACAAATATGCACGGGACACGTTTTTTCACTGCTTCATTCGTCGCGTCATAATTCTTTTATCATCAAAAGTGCCTCTCGGCACTTTTGATTAAAAGACCGATCCAAACGCGCGACTGCTCTTCTCAAAGGAATCAACCGACAGTTCACATACAGGTATCTTCCCAAACAGCATCCATGTCCATCCGCCGTTTCGAATCGACTGGCGTTATACAACGGAAGAGCACGACGGAACAAACGATTCGCGAGTGTTTCTTCGCGAGTTGGAAGAACAGAAGAGAAGGGGGATGGATCGTGAGTTGAACAATAGACGAGACGCGTACTTTTTTTAAGCAGCAACCAAAGTTACGGTACGGTCTCTCTTAAAGCCGCAAGCTCGGCAAGTCGGCGCGGGGACGGAATCGACCGACGCGAACGGCGCTCGAGTGACTCGAAATGACGACATCGGTCAAGCGAAGCGCACAGTTGACGTTCCTCAGACTCCTTTTACGCCCGCGGCCGCTGAACTACCGCTGAGCGACTGTTTGAAGTCTCCGCTCGCTGGAAATGTACTCCGCGCGCGGTGGTTGTAAAGGAAAAGAAAAAAAAGAAAGAGAGGGACCCAAAGGGCTCATAATTTCCGCAGTAAACGCCCGCGCCGCGAGAGGAAGAGAGACCGCGAGGCGGACATTAAAGAATACTAGTAGAAATAATGGCACGTCGTAGTCGCCGCTTTATAGACTTTGATGGAGGAGAGGAGAGATGACGACACCTCGCGGGGGCGAGTCGTCGTCGCAGGACGAATCCTTACGGCAGGGCGGGATTCTCGCTGAGACAGCTGGCACGGTTACCACACCGTGTAAAATCGAATCTCGCCGAGAGTTTGCCGCGATGGTTCCACGTGTCCCACTTATTACGTCGGCGCGAGATTGTTTTCGTTACGAGGATAATCGATCGCGCGGGCCATTTCACCGCCTCAGCGTGAAATTGCTGGGGAGAAGAGAGACGAAGGAAATATAACGTCCCTGCCGTTTTCCTTCTTCTTTCGTCGCCTTCTATTTCTCTTGCCCGTCAAAGGGAACAAAGTTCGCGCGGCTTCGCGCCCGTCAAGTTGCTCGTACCACATTGAACTCGTCGTTTCGTGAAAATTGCTTTCTCGCGTGGAACGCATCGAGCGAGAGCCGGAAAGCCGATCGGAAGATTAGTATTGATCTCGTGAGGCGCGATGACGGGCGAGCCTGATGGGAAGGATGGCGGACGATGGCTTCGAGAAGGGGCGGTTTAGATAGTCAAGCTTATATATATATATATATATATATATATAATATACACACACACACACACACACGTCGTTGAGACACGGCGAAGGGGGACGATGGCGAAAAGCAGTGGGGTTTGCTGTATTCGTAATGAAGAACGCGCGCGCGAAGTCTTGCACCGAGGGCGGTTAAATTGCACTCTGTGGTCGAGGGAGCGAGCCACTTAACATTCCAAAATGCTCGTCGGATCCTCTTTTCCACATCCCGCATGCGATCCGACCGATACGCAGCTTCGCAATGCATTCTAATTGCGATCGTCCTCGCGACTGCGTGGTAATTCAGTCGCGCATTTAATAATAAACATGCTTCTCTTCTCTGCTCTTGTAACAGCGTTGTCTTTCAATCAACTCATTTCCACTCATCGACTGGTCGGTGGACTAACAGATCGTAATAACGAGGAGCCCTAATTGCGCGACTCGCTCCGTTCGCTTGTCATACTCTCGCTCTCGCCTCTTTCTTTCCTACATTTCCCAAGCAACCCAATGCACGCAAAGAGGAAGACGAGAGAGTGTGTGCCGCGCGCTGCTGAAAAACTTTTTCCTCGATGAAAGCATCACGCGACGAAGCCACTAACATTATGAGAGATCTCGCGGTCGCAGTTTTTGCGCGTTCTCGTATATTTCCGTTTCCTCTTCCTCGCTTCCTTTTTACCGTGTGTGTATTCTAAGCGAAAGCTACGCGGACGCGAAGCAATTTTGATACGTTCGTGTCGCGGCGACTAATTACATTTCTTCGGGGTCCGAGAATTTTTGCCGGTGCATCTGACATCGACGAAGAAGCTACGACGGACGGACGCGAATCGATTTCGCGGGGCTGCGACTTTTTGTCATTAACTGTCAGCATGGCGCTTGCGGGAGGACGTATGATGAATTGCCGCCAACGACGACAGATGCGACGATTGTCACCTCTTTTTTTTTACTCTCGGCAATTAGGAC